CATAGTGGGTTAAGTCACTGAGACACTGGTATCCTATGTGGGTGCTGGTTCAAGATCCAGCTAATCTAGCGTCCTACTCATGTGTCTGTGAAAGCGGAGGAAGATGCCCCAAGTGCTAGAGCCCCTGTCCCCACATAGGAGACCAAGATGAAGCTCCTGGCTTTGGCCTGGCCGGGTCCCAGCCGTTGTGTTCCTTTGGGAACAGAAGATAGTTTTGTCTCTTTCTCTCTCTCGTAACTCTATCGGTCAAATAAAATAAATCAATGTCTTTTAAAGAAAAAGCTTTACGAATGCTAAAACTGAAAAAGCATGTAGTTTTCAAAACTGAATGATTCGATCTTTTTTAAGTGTTCTCAGATTTCTTGCACAAAAACTGGCATGAAAAGAGGCAGTAGTCATCATGCAAGGGGAACCTGCCACATCATCGTGGGAAGTTGTTTTTCAGAGCCTCTGAACTGCACTTAACCTTCCTGACCTTGGCCTCCAAGCATGAATTTCTGTCTGTAGATGTTACCAGATCTTTCTCCTACGCAGACTACAAGTTGCACCCTGTGGAAATTTAAACAAGTGTGAATTGCCTTGGAATGGAAAAGGCGTTCACAGTCATTTTGAGAGCTCCTGCCAAGGTCTGCCCCGGGGAGGGAGCAGGGAACAAGTTGTTGCTTGTCCCCTCTTGCCTGGATTCTAACCAAGGCAGAGATACTGGGAAAGGTGGCAACTCTGAGCACAGCCCTGACTCCTGGCCTCGAGCTGACCACCAGGCCAGGACCCATGTCCCTGAGCAGTGCAGATGGTTTTTGTACACTTGGGCCCCTGTCTGGTCTTAGCCTTGAAGTCATCAAAGAAAGCCACAGGAGCAGTGAAAAGGGGAATGAGGGGGTTGAGACTCCTTCTGCACTTGGGAGCAAATCAGGGCTCCTCACCAGCCCTGGCGTCTCTGTCTCCACAGTCCCGTTGCTGACTTCACTGGTATCCAAGATGCTCGGCAATAAATGGCCGGCATCATTCTTGCTTCCCAATGGAAAAAAAAAAAAAAACCCTCAACGAAGTAAAGGTGCCATCCAGAGGGTGTACAGCTGGCTCAGACCAACGCAGGAATAGGATCTGTGTCCTTGACCCAGCATGCAGCCTTCTCTCTTCTACCCTGCCCTGATTTGAGACGAGTTCTTGGTTGTACCGACAAATGCTAAGGTAGGGAAGGTGGCAGGCCTTCGGGATATGAAGGGATACATTTCCCTGCCCTTTTTAAATATCTTTTTTAAAGATTTATTTTTTTATTTTTTTTTTATTGGAAAGGCAGATATACAGAGAGGAGAGAGAGAGGAAGTTCTTCTGTCCGATGATTCACTCCCAAAATGACCACAACGGCCAGAACTGAGCTGATCCGAAGCCAGGAGCCTCCTCCGGGTCTCCCACGCGGGTGCAGGGTCCCAAAGCTTTGGGCCGTCCTCAACTGCTTTCCCGGGCCACAGGCAGGGAGCTGGAAGTGAAGTGGAGCTGCCAGGATTAGAACAGGCGCCCATATGGGATCCTGGGCGTGCGAGGCAAGGACCCTAACCACTGGGCCATCGCACCGGGCCCTAGGACCCTAAATATCTTTTTTTTTTTAACAGCCCCTGCCTTGGTTTCTGCTGCAGGTGTCAGACCCTCTGCTCTCACAGTCAAGACATTTGGTGCCCATATGTGGATGCCACTCACCTCTCAGCATGGTGGGGTACATGGGAGCCCCTCCCCCCTGCACCTCCCTTCCCGCCCCGACACCTCCTGACGCAGATTCTGTTTGCCTGGACAGGGCTGCCTTGCCTGGACCTTTACAAAGATCCTTTGTGATGTGTTTGCTTTTGGGAGGGCAAGAGAGCGGAGCCCTGGCTGTACTCAAACCACATGGGCCCACCAGCCCTGTTTACGCAAACAGAGAAGAACCAAGATGGATGACCCTGTTGCCAGGGGGCCCAGAGTAAAAACAGTGGCCAAAGTCCAGGACCCTGGATCCCAGAGCTGCAGCACACAGAAGCTGTGAGGGAGCCTCCGGGGGCCCGGGGAGGCCTGTTTACTCGTCTGGGTGCAGGATGTTTGCACAGGAGGGTGTTGGTGGCAGCCATCTGGCTGTCCTCCGGCTGGGCAGTGGAGCATGGACAGATCAGGCAGCCCAAGTGCTCTGCAGAGCCAGTCCCACCCCCAGCACACACATTCACCACCCGTACCATCCCTGTCAGTTCCTTTGGGCGGGAGTTTCCTCTCTTGTTTGAGAGCAAATGTTTCCTCGATGTGCTCTCACTTGACCGCAGGGTGAGCAGTGCTGTAACGGGGTGGGTTTTCTGCGATCTGCACAGCAGGCGGGCAGGCAGCTGTGGCCCACCCACATCACCCCTGCCTGACCCAGGAGGTCAGGTCACAGGCACAAAACCACACTTTAGACAAGAGGCAGGAGCCAGCGAGTGCCCCTTCCACCCAGACCCTTCGTCCCCATCCAGCTGTGAAGCCAGGCAAGCAGAGGGCTTGTCCAGTTAAGTAGCCACTTCGCTGGTGGCTCCCAGGAGAAAGTAAGCCTTCCCTCTCAGGGAGGTGATGGAAGCAAAGGTAGTACCATGAGGGCACTGCCAAGGATCTGGGATCCCTTCCACACACTGGCCAGTGCTGCGCGGATCCGAAGCCAGGAGCCAGGAACTTCTTTTCGGTTCTCCCACACCGGTGCAGGGTCCCTAGGCTTTGGGCCATCCTTGATTGCTTTCCCAGGCCACAGGCAGGGAGCTGGATGGGAAGTGGAGCTGCTGGGATTAGATCCGGCGCCTATATAGGATCCCGGCTGTGTTCAAGGCTAGGACCTTAACCATTATGCTATCACGCCAGGCCCAATAATTTTTTTTTAAAGATTTTTTTTTTTTTTTTTGGAAAGGCAGATGTACAGAGAGGAGGAGAGACAGAGAAGAAGATCCTCTGTCCAATGATTCACTCCCAAGTGAGCGCAACGGCTGATGCTATGCCAATCCGGAGCCAGGAGCCTCCTCCAGGAGCTGGATGGGAAGCGGGGCTGCCAGGAGTAGAACCAGCACCCATATGGGAGCCCAGTGCATGCAAAACAAGGACTTTAGCCACTAGGCTACTATTCCGGACCCAAAATATTTTTTTTTACTGATGGTGTCTAGGAGTAGGGCCAGCCAGAGGTCTTCAGGTTGTGAGGGATGCACCCTGGAAAGGTTGTTCTCATGACAGAGTTGGTCTTTTAAGCTCCATTTAGCTTAGCTGCTGTCTCTGCTTCTTGCCACCACGTGATAATTCCTCCACCATCCTGTGGCCTTACAAGATACCTGAACCAAATGTTCTAGTTAGCATCACACACATGCAAACACATACACACGCCACCCTCTAATAAGTGAGTAAGGCTGCAAGCCAGGCTCCAGGAAAGCCACGCGCAGGTGTATGTGGCCTCAGCAAAGAGCCAAGCTGGTGGTGTGATCAGCATGGCTGTGCAGGTACTGAGGCTTCCTCTGCCTAAACTACATAAGTAGTTGGGGACAAACAGAACTGTGAGAGAGACGTGTGACAGGGCAGGGCCACTGCAGGAAGCCCCACGAGGGCAAGGCCACACAGAATGTGGGCTCAACATGCCGTGTAGCTGCAGAATACTCCATGCTCTTAAGGCCTGGGACTCAGGGTTCAAACATCTTTTGGCGAGGAGAGGTGCAGGGAGCACATTAACAAAGGCTTAGATCCCAGTCTGACCTTGAGATCAAGCGTCTCGTGCTGTCCCTTCAGTCAGGTCTGGTTGGGAGTTATTGTGGAGTCGCCCTAACTAGGCTGTGTGTGTGAAGACCGAGCTGGGTTGGGCTGGGCTGGACTGGGCCAGGTTGCAGCCTCCATCAATTCATGTGAGAGGTAGGGCTGGGGCAGAACTGACTAGGCAGATGCATCCACCAGTACATGCATTGGCTGGTGCCTACAAGGGTCAAGTCTAAAGTCATAGTAGGTGAGGTTTCTTGGATGACTCCTAAACTGGGTCGTTGGACTCAGACCCCGGCCACAGGGAAAATAGAATATATGTGGTCTTGACCTTGGAATACATGTATCATGATTGACCTCTTCAGTTGCTGATGCCTGTGCAGTGGACAGCATGTCCAGATGCACACAGGGCACATGACAGCCAGCGGAGGATGTCATCTGGGCCAGCGGAGGATGTCCAGAGCCTCGTTGGGGGACGGAGGGCAGAACAGGTTGAACCACTCTCCTGACCATGTTCCTGGGTCTTGGGGATGCACTGAAGTGGACTTGGACAGCCAACAGACCACAGGAAGATTTTCTCAACCGTGTTACAATGAAGATGGGAATGTCTCAGAACTATCAAAACCACTCAAGCAACATCCTTGGAAGACTCTTCTCCACATCAGGGGCTCTACGGCAAAGGACGGGCCCCAAATCCTTGAATGCCAATGTAGCTGGACAGCAAGGACTGGTTCCCCTCCCTTCCACTACTGCAGAAACAGAAGGAAAAAAAATTAAAACATTTGTTCCACCCACCTTTCTCCATTCCTCAACCCTTCCCACCCTAAACCGAAGACCACAAGGGCATGAATCTCTCTCAGCTATGGAAACAATATTAAAAATTGAAAATTAAAAAAAGGTCATGGTCAGCCTTACCCCTGCCTTCCCTGGCAGGTGAAGAGGACAGCCAAAATCAAGGGGGACTGCAGAAGCATACTGAAGGCCAAACTGTCTAGTGATGACTAAAAATCCTGGTTCGTGGAAGGAGGTTCCTGGTCCCAGACCGCATATTTGGAAACACCCACTCACTACCCAGGGAGAAGCTGCCGTGGGAACAGTGAAACTAGCCACCCCAACTTCGCTTTGATCTTCCTCTGTCTCCGCCACAGACATACAATTACTAAGCATTAGCATCGCTTGATGAAAACTGTAATTACTTCAAGGACGGCCCGGGTTGGCAAAGATGGAATAAGGCCAATTCTCCTACAGACGGGCACCTCCGAGGTGGACAGTCGGCTTACCTCAGCAAAGCCTGAACCCCTTCCTCACGTCCCTCTTCATATTAACTGGGCGCGGGAGGAGGGGGAAGGGGTGGCAGATCGATCCCAAAGGCTGAAACTCAGAACTGGGAACCATCCTGGAGCAGCTAGCCGGCAGCCAGGTGCCCTCGCCACAGGAACCGAGATGCCAAGTCCTCCCGGACTCCTAGAAGGAACCCGGAAGCGCGGCGCGGTCCCGGAAGGCAGGGTGCTGACATACTTCCGGCCTTTGTGACTCATTGTGTCTGAGTCGAGGCGTCGGGAGGGCCTAGGTGCGCGTGCGGTTCCCTGCGGCCGCCCTGCACCCCGCCGTCTGCTCCCCTCTCTCGCCCAGCGCTCCCGGGCAGCTCCCGGGGCTCACGGTGAGACTTGGGGCTGGCCTCCGGGGAGGGCGGGCGTGGCCCCCAGGTGTGTGTGTGTGTGTGTGTGTGTGTGTGTGTGTACGCGCGCGCGAAGGGTCCCTCACCCTGCCCCCGGACTCACCCCCGGGGCCAGCGGGCCGAGGGGCTTGGGGACCCGGCCAGAAGCCCCTGGCCCGCAGTGTCGTCCTCGCGGTTTGACGTTTCTGAGAAAGGGGTCGCGAGCGAGCCGACCCCTGTCATGACTTTTTTCCCCCCCGCTTCTCCCCCGTCGCCATTTGCTCGGGTTACGGTGAGAGGTTTTTGGTTGCTGTTGTTTCGTTTTTTGTTTTGCGCGCACCCCTTCCCCCGCCCCCTCCACACACACACACCTCGGATCCTTCAAGGACCCCGAGGTGCAAAGGCGCCAGGCAGACAGGTGCAATGCGTGGCCAGATCACCTGCTTCTCACCCCACCGCCCCCACTGAGCCGTGTTGAGGCACAGTCCTGGCGGACACAGATCCGATAGGTGATACGGGAGTATACACATCCCGCTCCCTTCTCAGCTTTATGGAGTGACCGGAGGCTGTTACACAATGAGAAGGAACTTTCTTTTTTTTTTTTTTTTTTCTTTTCTTTCTTGCCCCCCCCGCCCCCCAGTTTGGCATAGCTCATTCTGTGCTTGGCTCGGAGTAGGTGAGGAAAGGGAAGAAGAGAAATCTGCACAGGGCCGGTAGGGAACCCATTATGGGTGACCTTGAATAACAGGAGGAGCCAGCTCTTGATTTCTGTCACCGATACCATTAGCTAGCGGGATTTCCTTTGGAAATGAATTGTTCAGTGTGATTGAAAAATTAACTTACGATTTAGCCTGACACCCCACCCACCCCCAGCTTCCCTGCAGCGCCTGCAGCACACAATACAATATTTTGATTTTTCAGCAAAGTGGCTATTACATGGCCTGAGACCAAAGAAAACATTTATTGTAGAGGACAGCGCCAGGCGGGTTTGGACAGTACATACTTGCTGAATTGAGTCCTGGCGAATTTATTGTAACCACATCTGCAAAACATTGTTACTGCCTATGCTGGCCCAGTGGGGGGGCGGGGGAGAGCTCTGCCACACAGGGAACCTTAATAAAGATTTGTCCCAGAACGTTTTCATGTTTCTATCGTCTCTGGATTATTGTACAGGATTCTTGTCCTTATTTCAGTCTTTCGCTCCCTAATGCCATGTTTGGTTTTGTTTTTCTACTTTCAATATTGAAATTTTCATATTGCGTTATATTGTGATACAGTGGATACGTTTTAATCTGTGGTAGCATCAATATTCTTTGGGTGGCTGACTGTCTTTCAAAGGTAGCTTTCCTATTTCAGGACATTTTGAAGTCCTGTTTTTAAAAAATGGCGCAAGGGGGCAGTTTGTTTTCACTGCCAGGATTGTCCTGGGAAAAGTCCTAGGTTAATTAGCAAACAGCAGTTGTAACTCTTAGTCCCTTTTGGTAAGAAAATTGTTCATACTTATCTTTGGCGAAAACTGGTAGCCAGGGGTGATCTTATCAAGAGTGAATGCTTTTCAGTTCTAGGGGACTCCTCCTCCGTATTCTCCTCCCCTCGCACTTGACTGATAAGGATTCTGAATACCAGACAAGTTAAATAACTCAGGAATGGAGAACGTCTTTGTGGGAGACTAGCATTCGGCTGTTTGACCCTGTGCTGCTTTTATTGCTGTTGCTGTTGCAGGAGTTCTCCCATGGCTGAATACTTTACAATGTACAGTTGAATGTTTTTAAGTTTTTTTTCTTTTTTAAAAAAATATAAACACATTTCTGTATCACCTGCTCAATACCAGATTGCTCACGGTGTTCTGCAAATGTTACTGTGTTCAGTCCTCCAGTAGTTACACAGATGAGGAAGTGGATGCATTTTCTAGGTGATTCCTGAGAAGGACAACATTCATCCTGACCTGAGACTTCCAGGGAGCAAAAGAGGAGTAAATGCAGAATGAATGGCCCCAAATCAGTAACATTGTAAATTTAGTCCTTTTTTTTTTTTTTTTTAACTAATGCTTTCAAGGAAACATGCTAAGTGGTATAAAAGGTACAAAGAACACCTTTACCTTTAACAGTCTAGTTGAGGGATGCCAAAACACATTACAGAGAAATGGAAGGAGTTACATAGGAGATGCTTATTGAAGAATCAGCATCTTCAGGGGCAAAAAGTAGTTTGTGTCCCAGAGAGTCCACAGTACTGTCCTGGCCTGCTCCCACAACAGGAGCAGGGGACATTGAGAATGGGGACGGAGGGATGTGCCCATGCCCTTCCAGGCCTCCGTCCCTTTGGGTCCATGTTCATTTGTACTGACCCAGAAAAGCTTTGGTCTCCAGTTGAAACAGAATCAAACTATAGCAAGAAAGAGCTTTCCTCACACAATGACTCTGAAAACAGCCAGTGGTTGAGGAGGCCCTTTCTGAGTAGTTCTTAATGGTCCCTGTCATAGGACTTCGTTTTAGAAAGAATCTATACACGGTAGCTCTTCCTTAGTTCCACATGTTGGCTCCAACATGGATGTGATATCATGATTGAAAACCCTGAACTGTGGAGTTTGTCACAGACCTAATTTCAGATCCTGGTTCTGCTGGGGTTTTGTTTGGTTTGGTTTTGTTTTGTTGTGTTTTCCTGTGTGACCTCAGAGTCGGTTATTTAATATCAGTCAATCTCATTATCATTCTGAAGGTAGATGATAATTTTAGCTGCTGTCTAAGACTGTTGAGGGTCCCCGTGAAATGTTTGATACACCTGCTACCTAGAAAGCACTGAATAAATTGTTGGCCTTTACTGTTAATAAAAATCTACCAGAAGGTTCTTGAGCAGTGATGAAGGGTAAGTGACAGTTTAACTTAAGGATAAGTAGAATTTTAAAAAGCAGAGAAGACTGGGAAGAAATTCCAGGCTGAGATGAGCATGAGATGAGGCATGAATGACATCCAAAATAACAGAGTCTAGAAAAATGCTTCTTTGACTTTCACTGGATGGGAAGGCTTACAGAAGGCAGGGGGAGTTTGGCGGGAGGTGTGGCCTGTTAGAATATAACACTGCAAGGCTGTAGATGGTTAGGAAGAATCAGAGTAAGGTAGAGATGAATTATGGGGCAGTAAGGAGAAAATGAAAGTAGGGGACCGAAAGGATGCTGGATTTTTGAGGCTAAATTGAAAAATAAGTATGAACGAAGGAGTTTCCTTGGGAAGAGAGGAATGTAAACAGGAAGGAATTCAAGCAGATGGCATTCTAAGCTTGAGTTACTGAGATGTAAGGTGGAATAATGTCTACCAGTTACCACTAAACTCAATAAAGAGGTGGCAAGGGGAGCTAGGATGGGTTGGGTAGTTCTTCACACTGATTGTTCGACAGCAAATTGTCAGGCTTCCTGCAAGTAGAGAAAGAGTCCCTGCCCTTGATCAGGGAGCTTAAAATTCGGTGGGAAGATGGAAGAAGGAACTGCAACCAGAGTCCTGAAGGTATAAGTGCCTAGGAGAGAGGCTAGGCGTGTCCTGAGGGCCTCCAGATGAGGACCATGACGTGCTTGATGTGGAGTGTTTAGACAAGATGGCTGAGTCAAAGTTTGGCCAATATGGTTAGGAGGGTGTTCACAGCAAAGAGTAAAATGAAAAGCCATGCCTTGTTCTTATGGCCCTTTGATGGAAATCACTACTATGAAAGCCGAGAGGAGCTTGTAAACAGTGCAAGGTGCTCTACCCTAAACTGGTGAATATCGGGGATTCATTGATCGGTGTGGAGTGGAGAGAAGAAATTACCAAAACCATACTTAGCAATCCAGCACTAACCTTGGTGTGTGTATGTATTGGAAGACAGAAACTGTCAGGGGCTGTGGCGTTAATCCAGGAAGGAGCCAGGCAGTGTGACTTAGGATGTGGAAAGTAGTCACATGGAGAGTAAACAGGAAGAGATCATGTCTTTCTGCTCTTCAGAATGAAATGAGAAAGGAAGGCTTCCCGTCTGGGAAGAAGGTGTCCTGAGGAGTGGTCTCGGGCCAGCCTCTTCAGTGGAGAGCTGCCTGTTGCTGCGGCCCAGCTGGCTTTTCACTCGGTACTTCTCCAGGCTCGTGTAGAACATTGCTGTGTGCTGCAATTGTGTAAAGGTCAAAGTCAGCTGTACCTTTTCCCCTCATTCTCGCACAACACCTTGCATATTTTGTAGGTGTGCAGAAAATGTTTAGAGACTAAGTTTAACTGTAAGAATGTTAGAGGGGAAAAATTCTCTGAAGTTGAAGTGAGTATATTTACCCCAGCATGGTGGAGTAAGGGGGAGGGAACCCATAGATGGAAGATCTCTCCTTTTATTCTCTCTAAATCTGCTCTCCAAATAAATTTTTTAAATTGCGATTCTGTGAAGCAAAGAGAAAATTTTGAAGTGAAGGCACCTCATCAGCCCTGTGGGGTTGAAGGATGAAGGGAAAGGAGGGTGCCATCCGCTCTTACCTCAGGATGTACCTTGTGTGACATGTGACACTCAACATTCAGACCAAATGAAGATGTCAATCTCAGTTGATATGTTACAAATTATTTATCCAAAAGAATTAACTCAGAGAGAGGAAGAAACAAAGATCTTCTGTCCATTGGTTCACTCCCCAAATGGCTGCAACAGCTGGAGCTGTACTTTTTCTGTATTTCCCACATGGGTGCAGGGGCCCAAGCATTTGGCCCATCTGGTACTGCCTTCCGGCACCATTAGCAGGGAGCTGATTCAGAAGTGGAACACCCGGGTCTTGAACTAGCATCTATATAGATGCCAGTGTCATGGATAGCAGCATCTCTAGCAGGACACCATGTACTTTGGAAACCAGTTGTAAACTGACCAAGGCACCCAGGGCTTCACATTTAGTTTGAATGTTGGCTGAATCAGGAAGCTACATATGCTGCTACATATGCAGGTTGCTTAAGCTGTCCAGGCCTCAGTATGTCATCTTTGAAATGGTGAGACAGTCTGCCTATGATCTGGTTGTTGTGGGGACAGAAGGAGACCGGGCACTGTCTAAACACTGCAGGTGCAGCATCTGTCTTGGCACATGGGCTCCAGCTCCAGCCACCCTGAGGAGAGAAGTTGCCTGTCTGAGATTTCTCCTTCCCATGTGAAATGAGAGTGAACACCATGAGGCTGTTTGTCTCCATCATTATTTAGGTGGAGTGGTTTGATTTGTAGCCACGTGTAAAGCGTTAGCAACACATAGCACTTTTTACGAAGGTGTGAATGACTTTATCTTTTGTTTTTCTTTATTTTTTTAACTTCAGGACTAATAGAGAAACACTGTTGAATATCCCCTGGTACAGAAAAGTGAGCACAGACCCCACGTGGATCGAGTCTGTCCCCTGGGCCTGAATGATGACTGCTGAGTCCAGGGAAGCCACGGGTCTGTCCCCACAGACTGCACAGGAGAAGGATGGCATCGTGATCGTGAAGGTGGAAGAAGAAGATGAGGAGGACCACATGTGGGGGCAGGATTCCAGCCTGCAGGAGACACCCCCTGCCGACCCAGAGGTGTTCCGCCAACGTTTCCGGCGCTTCTGTTACCAAAACACTTTCGGCCCCCGAGAGGCTCTGAGCCGACTGAAGGAACTTTGTCATCAGTGGCTGCGGCCAGAAATAAACACCAAGGAGCAGATCCTGGAGCTACTGGTGCTGGAGCAGTTCCTTTCCATCCTGCCCAAGGAGCTCCAACTCTGGCTGCAGGAGTACCGGCCTGACAGTGGAGAGGAGGCCGTGACTCTTCTAGAAGACTTGGAGCTGGATCTGTCTGGACAGCAGGTAAAAAGAGCTGGGTGTGGACTTGGAGGTGGGAGCTCAGAGAAGGTTACTCATTTCAAGCTGGTGTTCTCTGACATTTGAGTTCCTAAGTTTTACAAAGTGGTTTGCCCACAAGCCCCACCTGTTTGCCCACAGGTCCCAGGTCAAGTGCATGGACCTGAAATGCTCGCCAGAGGGATGGTGCCTCTGGATCCAGTTCAGGAATCCTCAAGTTTTGACCTTCATCATGAGGCTGCCCAGTCCCATTTCAAGCAGTCATCTCGGAAACCCCGCCCATTACAGTCACGGGGTAAGAAGCAAGGTTTGTGTCAGGGGAAAGAATAAATGCCCTCTCTGTTGTTGAATGCCTGAGCTTAAGAAGCATGCTTAATTTTGTCATTTTGCATTATTTTCATTACTAGTAAATGCTAGGGGAAATAAATTGGTCTCACTTTAGAATTTAATGTTACTAAGGTTATTAATGAACTTGATGGACATTGCATTATTTACAAAATCATTGCCAATTTTGAATAGAAAAGTATTGGGAACAGATGTTGTATTTCCATCCTGGATTTAGAAATACTGTAATATGGTCCTAAATTATTTTTTTAAAAACCCACTTTATTTAAAATGTATGAAATGTTCTATGCCATCACTCTTTTCTAAATTGTTTTCAAACAATCAGAAAAGAATGGGAAAAATGTTTTTGGTTAACAAAAGATCTATTTTATTTTTATTCAATTTTCTTCCTTTGAGGGAAATATAGTTTTAAAAAGTTTATTCATGAGCCCAGTGCAGTAGTCTAGTGCCTAAAGTTCTCACTTTGCACGCACTGGGATCCTGCTCCATTTCCTGTCCAGCTCCCTGCTTGTGGTCTTGGAAACCAGTGGAGGACGGCCCAAAGCCTTGGGACCCTGCAGCACGTGGGAGACCCCAAAGAGGCTCCTGGCTTTGGATTGGCTCAGTTCAGGCTGTTACGGCCACTTGGGAAGTAAACCAAGGAATGGAAAATAATTTTCTCCGTCTCTCCTTCTCTCTGTAAATCTGACTTTCCAATAAAAATGAAACTTTAAAAAAATATATTCATTTATTTGAAAGATAGAGTTATAGAAAGAACTCTACTTTTATTTACTCCCCATATGGCTGGACCAGGCCAAACCCAAGAGTTTCTTCCAAGTCTCCTGAGTAAATGCAGTGTCCTAAGTAATTGAGGCATCTTCCAGTGCTTTCCTAGTCTCATTAGCAAAGAATTAGAATGGAGTTGCAATAGCCAGGACTGGAATTAGCACCCACATAGAATGCCAGCATTTCAGCCGACAGCTTGATATGCTACACTACGGTTCCAGCCCAGGAAATATATCTTTGTACAAGTTTAAAATCAAAGTGGCATATAGAATATCAGTAAAAATAGTGAAATCTTAAAAGTATGGTGTCAAGAATAGGGCCCAGCAAGAAAGGCTAGTGGCTAAATCCTCACGTTGCAACCACCAGGATCCCATGTGGATGCTGGTTCATGTCCTGGCTGCTCCATTTCCCAGCCAGCTCCATGCTTATAGCCTGGGAAAGCAGTAAAGACCCCTATACCCTCATGGGAGACCCAGAAGAAGCTTCTGGCTTCTGGTTCCTGGCTTCAGATTGGCTCAGCTCTGGCCATTGAGATCATTTGGGGAGTGAACCAATAGACAGTCTTTCTCGGTGTGTCTCCTTCCCTCTGTGTATCTGCCTTTCAAATAAAATGAATAAATCTTAAAAGAAACTATGGTTGTTGAAGAATAGCCAGTCTCTACATGGACTTCCTCTGTGAAGGGCCATTAGATCATGGCTCTTCAGGGCATATTGTCTCTTCCATGCATCTTGGAGGCAAGCAGGCAAGCAAAACTGGAAAGAGAGTATTCAAATCTTAAGTGCCAGATTGGAGTTTCAGGTTGCTAAAGGTAGTTAAAGACACTGTACATTAATTTGTTTAGTAAATAGTTCTTGAGCGGTTAGAACAGATATTTATTCTCGGGGCTGGTACCATGCATATTGGTTGGGCCTCCACCTGCAGTGCTGGAATCCCCTGAGGGCACCAGTTTGAGTTCTGGTTGCCACACTTCTAATCTAGCTCCCTGATAATGTGCAAAAGAAAGCAACATAAGTTGAACCAAGAATATACACACATGGAGAACCTGGAAGAAACTCCTGGAGGCTTCGAACCAGCCCAGTTCCAATCATTACAACCATTTGGAGGGTGAACCAGCAAGTGGAAGATCTGTCTCCTCTCTCTCTCTCTAAATCTGCCTTTCAAATTTTAAAAATATATATATTTTGTGTTTTTTAGATTCATTTATTTTGGGCGGGGGGCCCAACACAGTAGCCTAGTGGCTAAAGTCCCTACCTTCCATGTGCCAGTTCATATCCTGGCTGTTCCACTTCCCATCCAGCTCCCTGTTTGTGGTCTGGGAAAGCAGTCGAGGACGGCCCAAAGCCTTGTGATCCTGCACCCGCATGGGAGACATGGAAGAAGCTCTTGGCTTCAAAAATCAGCTCAGTTCTAGCCATTGTGGCCACTTGAATAAATCTTTTAAAAGTATGTATGTATTTATTTATTAATTATTGGAAAAGGAAAAGCAGAATTACAGAGAAGGCGAGACAAAAAGATCTTCCATCCATTGATTCCATCTTCAAGTGGCCACAGCCGCCAGAGCTGAGCTGATCCGAAGCCAGGAGCTGGTGCAGGGTCCCAAGGCTTTGGGCTATCCTCCACTGCTTTCTCAGGTCATAGGCAAGGAGCTGGATGGGAAATGGAGCAGCTGGGACACAAACTGGAGTCCATATCGGATCCCAGTAGTTGCAAGGCAAGGACTTTAGCCACTGGGCCCCATAAAAAATAAATCCTAAATCACGTTTATTCTCAGTTTCCTGTCTCAGAGGCTTAAAAAGCTAGGTACTTCATCATTTTGTTCTGTGTTATTTATGTAGTATCTTTGCATTTCAGTGACATCATCTTACCTACCAATACCATTTCCAAATATAAGTGTATTTGCCAAGGGGAGGTGGGTATGCATGATTTTCTAATTCAGTGTTTTTCTAGGGATAGATGTTTGGCCTAGTGGTTAAGGTGCCAATTAGGGTGCTAGGTCCTGCATCAGGATATCTACCATTGGTACCTGGGTCAGACATCCTTCTAGTGCCAACCTGGAGAAACAGTGGAAATGGTCTAATTAATTAAGTGCCTGCCACTCATGTAGGAGACCTAAATGGAGTGCCCAGATCCCAGCTTTGGTTTTGCCAGCATTTGGAGAATAAACAAATTGTAGGAACTCTCTCTCTCTCTCTCTCTCTCTCTCTCTCTCTCTCTCTCTGCCTCTCAAGGAAGTGAATAAATAGAATTTTTCTGAGTATTCTTACATGTTGCAGTTGATGTGACCATGCAGTCCTGTGACTGTCTTTCATTATATCAACCCATAACTTTATCTGCTTGTAAATGACTCAGTAATACTTAAACCATATGTGTCTTTTATCAACAACTTTTGTTGTGGCCAAGTAAAGAACAAAAGAAGAGGAATAAACAAATTGTGAAAAACCTATGTAGAGGTAAAGAAAACATTCTTCCTCTTTTCTTGATGTTACAACTAAAGACTAAACTTTTTTGCCCTCTTGGCTGGCTCTGCCCTTCTCCCTCCCTTTCCAACCCCCTCATCCCCCAATTTTATTTGAAAGGCAAAAACAGTCAGAGATCTTTCATATGCTGGCTCGTTCCTCAAGTCCCTATAATGGCCAAGCCTGAGCCATCCCAAAGCCAGGAGTCTGGAACTCCATTTAGGTCTCCTGCATAGATGGCAGGGAACCCAAGTGGTTAAGCCAACATCCACTGCTTCCTAGGGTGCTCACAGGAACTTGGCTACAACTCAGAGTAGCAGAGACTCAAACAAAACCTAACTGCCGCACCAAGCACCTACCCCTGGACCCTTGACTCTGTGACTCCTGCCTTAAGAGACCTTAGGAAAATTGAGGTCCTACTTTCTCTCATTTATGTTCTTTGATGTTTTCTGTTCCAGTAAATAAATATTAACAGGAGATAACGCTGGTGCAGGTAGGAGAGTGCTCCAGCCTGTCTCTGAAGGGGGCCTCAAGCAGAGTTGATTTACTCACAGCTCCTTTGTGCTCCCCCAGCCCTCCCTGGCAGCCACATCCCTGCCCCACATCATGAGGGGAGTCCCAGAGAACAGGCAGTGGCATCTGCACTGTTGACGGCAGATTCTCAGGTGAGTTTTGCTCTTCTCTGCCCCGAGTCCCTGTATCAGCCTCTATGCCTCGTGCTGCTTTAGTAGTTTCTGCCAAACCACCTGCTTCTTGATTCCTCACCCAGAGAAGCCCTGCTCCTGCTCGTTCTCTCCATTAGTGTGTGACACAGCTCCCTCCCCAGGCCATCAGGCTGTGCTCACGAGTTCCTCCCAGCACTCTAGAGCCTTCAGTTAACTCTAACTCCGGGTTTGCCTATAGGACTGTCCCTGAGTTCTGGAGGAACTAATTGTGGGCATCTCCTGTTATTTCAGGCTATGGTGAAGATTGAGGATATGGCAGTGTCCCTCATCCTGGAGGAATGGGGATGCCAGAACCTGGCTCGGAGGAATCTAAACAGGGACAACAGGCAGGAGAATTATGGGAACACATTTCCCCAGGGTAAGACTGATACAGAACTATTGCCTGATAAGATTGTGTTGCCCCTTTATTGTTCAATTAGAGTTGATTAGAATTCGAAGACTACTCATCCCCTTTCTTCAAAACAGATAAATATTTTATTCATTGAACTCCAAAATTATGATACTATGACTCCCTGAATCCAAATGGATTTTTTTATGATTTTTTTTTTTTTATTGGAAAGGCAGATAAACAGAGAAAGAGATAAAGAAAGATCTTCCATCCACTGATTCACTCCTCAAGTAGCCTCAATAGCCAGAACTGAGCCAATGATGTAAAGCCAGGAGCTCCTTACGGGTCTCCCCCACGAGTGTAGGGTCCTAGGGCATTGAGCCGTCCTTTACTGCTTTCCCAGGATACAAGCAGGGAGCTGGATGGGAAGTGGAGCAACTGGGATACAAACCGGTACCTATATGGAATCCCAGCAGATGCAAGGTGAGGATTTAGCCACTGGACTATCAAGCGAGGCCCCCACATGAATTTTTTTACTTCTAGGTAGTTTTTGCTCTTTAAGATCAAAAATAAAAGCAATGGCCAGGTACTCTCCCAGGCTGTTATCCTGGCACTACATTGCTAAACCTGACAGATATGCTCCTTTGAACTTTCTGTCTTCCGCCTTGAATGAGTATTGTAACTGGAAAAACTTGTATCTAGATCTCCCTGCCAGTGAGATTCCTGCTTTCCAAGCCTTGCAGTGATCTTCTGTGAAGAACAATGGATCCTGACTGTGGGCTGTGAAGAAGCTCAGGAGGCATCAGCCAGATTGGACAGGGTGACACAGTGTCTAATAGACAGCAATGTGTCTATCCGATCTTAACCAGTAGGAGCAGGTGCCACAAAGCTGCCACCAGATTTGAACAGTAAAGTCATAGAGATCCCTCCTTGAGGAGGACAAAAAGGGGATGAATTACTTAGAGGTAAAAACAAAGAAAGGACATAGCTAAGAAGTCTTAAAACATTTTCCGAGCAATGGGTATGAATGGTAGTTTCCTTAGTACGTACTAAGGAAATGATGACAAGGCGAAAACTGCGTGTGTGGGCTGAGTACCTGTTCCAGTAATTTAAAATATTGAGAATGTCTGAGAACTGTCCAGATTTTTAAGACTTTGGCTTGGGATTCAAAACAAGGAAACCAACTTCATCTTTCTTAACAACAGTTTAGGGTTCCTGGTGATTTCCTCATTGAGTCAGAGTTGATACTACTCAGCAGTCTTGGTCCTTGCATTCAAGGGCCAGAGTAGAAGAGTGCAGATGCTCTTGGAAAGATTTCTTTAGGTCAGGTGAAGAATAAAGTTGGTTTATTTCTTACACAAATGTAAGCATGAATAGTACATGTTGGACAGTTTTCAACTTTCAGTTAAAAGCAGAGTCACACACAGAATATAGCAATGTAGAATAAAAGTTAAACTCCAGGGCCCAGTGCAGTAGCCTAGTGCTACAGTCCTCACCTTGCATGCCTGGAATCCCATATGGGTGCCAGTGCGTGTCCCAGTGGCCCCGCTTCCCATCCAGCTCCCTGCTTGTGGCCTGGGAAAGCAGTAGAGGACAACCCAAAGCCTTGGGACCCTGCACCACATGGGAGACCCGGAGGAGGCTCCTAGCTTCAGAACAGCTCAGTTCTGGCTGTTGTGGTCACTTTGGGAGTGAATCATCAGACAGAAGATCTTCCTCTCTGTCTCTCCTCTCTATATATCTGGCTTTCCAATAAAAATATATGAAATCTTAAAAAAAAAAAAAAAAGATTAAACTTCAGTGTTTAATATACTGATGGGTAAAATGAGGAGCTAAAATTTTGTTTTCTTGCATTATCTCTGGCATGGGCTGGGGCTATCTCTTAAGTTTTAGTTTGTCTCAGTTGTGGGTCAGGAAAGGTTTTAACGCTTTCCTCGTAAATGCCCAGCCAGGTCTCTAACCCCCCACTCTGTTGCTTAAGTAGTCAGTTCTGTGTTGCTCTCCCTAATGAAGAGCTGCTTCCTGGGGCTGAAAGTCCATGCCGTTGCCTGGCTCAGAGTTCCTTGGTTTTCCCATTAGCCATCCCCTTGTTGATAAAGTACAGAATTGCAGGGTATGTACTCTATCTTCTCCAGGTATATTCCTTCCTTTCTGCTAAGACCACTGACACCTACTTATTTATTTTTGAGATTTATTTATTTATTTAAAAGTGTTATGGGGAGGAAGAATCTAGAAAGGGGGCAGAGAAAAAGAGAGAGATCTGCAGTGCACTGTTTTACTCCTCAGACGGTTGCAATCAGTTGTGCCAGGGTCTAAGCCAAGCGCTTGGATCTTCCTTCAGGTCTCCCACATGGGTGTAGGGACCCCAAGATTTGGACCATTTTTTGCTTTCCCAAGAGCATTAGCAAGGAGCTAGATTGGAAGTAGAGCAGCCAAGTCTCAAACCGAAACATATGTGTGGCAGGAGACAACTTAACCCACTGTGCCACTATGCCAACCCTATTGATTTATTTGTTTGTTTGTTTAACAAAGACCTATCCATTCTTTAAAACATAAAAACAAACGTAGCATAGTGTAGTGATTCATAATAAGGCTAATCCTCAACCCAATGGAGCCAGCATCCCAAGTGGGTGCCAGTTTGTATTCTGGCTGCTGTACTTCTGATCCAGCTCTCTGCTTATGATCTGAGAAAGCAGAGAAGAATGGCCCAAGTCCTTGAGATCCTGAACCTGTGTGGGAGACCTTGATGAAGCTCCTGGCTTCTGGCTTTGGACCAGCTCAGCTCTGGCTGTTGCAGCCTTTTGAGAAGAAAACCAGAGGATGGAAGGTGTCTCTCTCTCTCACCTCCTACCTCTCTCCCATTCTCTTACTCTCTGCAAAATCTGCCTTTCAGATAAAAATAAATAAATCTCCAAACAAACAAAAAGCTTAGAAACAGCATGATGTTTTTAATATGTTCCTGTAAATTATTTAACAGTTGATAATACAATTGTGGCCTCTGAAGTACCTTAGGTCCTTATCTCTTCCTTATCAGGTCTGTTTCCTGTGCTCATTCCCTTTGATGTTTATTCCCTTCCTCTGCATGCTTTTTGTTATTTTCTCTTTCCTTTTCCCTCTTTGGCTGCCCTCTGGTTTTCCAACCCTATTTCTACTTGTTCCAGTTTTTCTCCTTTGTTTTCCTCTGTTTTCTCTGATTTAATACTAGGAAATCATTTTGCAGGCAGGTACAAGTTTCCTGGAAAATGATGTTATGCAGTTAACTGATTTACTCAAAAAGGTGTTATTTGTGGGTTTGTTTTTCCTGTTATGCCAGGTTGTAAAACCAGGAATGAAAATGAGGAGTCCACCTCAAAGACTGAAGCCACAGAAGACTCAGCATCCCATGGTCAGATAGCAGGAAGATTCCAGAAAGAGTTTGGAGAAAAACGTGAACAGCCGGGCAGAACTGTAGACAGGCAGCAGAGAAATCTGGAAGATAAAACTGGAAAAGAAAAGAGAGATTCAGGTCCAACGACAGGCAAGGATAAAAAACCCACCCCAGGAGAAAGGGGTCCAAGGGAGAAGGGGAAGGGACTGGGAAGAAGCTTCAGTCTGAGTTCCAACTTCAACACCCCTGAAGAAGCCCCAGCAGGAAAGTCTCACAAATGTGATGAATGTGGTAAGTGCTTCACAAGAAGTTCAAGCCTTATTCGCCATAAAATAATCCACACTGGAGAAAAGCCCTATGAATGTAGTGAGTGTGGAAAAGCCTTCAGTCTTAATTCCAACCTTGTCCTGCATCAGAGAATCCACACAGGAGAAAAACCACATGAATGTAATGAGTGTGGCAAAGCCTTCAGTCACAGTTCCAATCTCATCCTCCATCAGCGCATCCACTCTGGAGAGAAACCTTACGAATGTAATGAGTGTGGGAAAGCGTTCAGTCAAAGCTCAGACCTCACTAAACATCAGCGAATCCACACGGGGGAGAAACCTTATGAATGTAGTGAATGTGGAAAAGCTTTCAACCGCAACTCATACCTTATTTTGCATCGAAGAATTCACACCCGAGAAAAGCCCTATAAGTGTACTAAGTGTGGCAAGGCCTTCACCCGGAGTTCAACTCTTACCCTGCACCACAGAATCCATGCCAGAGAGCGAGCCTCGGAGTACAGCCCGGCCTCCCTCGATGCATTTGGAGCATTCCTGAAGAGTTGTGTGTAAAGCAAGCATCTCTCATCAAGCCATTTCCCCATTTTGTTTGTAAAATTATTTCAGAGATGTGCACCCATAGAGTGGGGGGGCGGGAGGAGAACCTCAACAAATTAAAAAACAAAATCACCCTTAAGGATCCTTTTAGGTAAATCAGCAGTGTTCTGCCTTTGTACATGTGGGCATGTAATTCTTCCATACAGTTCTTGCAGGGAGAAATAAGTGATTTGGATAATTCATGCAACATTTCCACATAAGATAAAAGCACACATATACAACAATGAATTGTCAAGCTTTTTCAGTAATGAGGATATCTGTAAGGCACTGTTGGACTCTGAGTAATCACAGTATATAATTGAAAGATCAAGACCGGCTCTTTGAACATGATACCAAGGTTAAGAAGCTCCTTGCTGCAACAAGCTCTACTAGGCCAACACCTTGCTTACCTTTCAAAAGAGGGACAGTTAAGACTGTCCCACATCAGGACATGCTGCTCAAGCTAGTTATATATATATGAAGAGCTATATATAATATATATATATATGATCAGTGGTAGTCTACCAAAGCTATAGAAATCTAGGACTGTGTTGATCAGTATCAAACCAAAGATTTTTATCTCTTCCCAAGAGAGAGGGCAGATGTACCAGTCTACCATTCCAAAGGACTTCAACAAGTGTAGATGGTTCTATCCTCATCACTGCTGTCAGTTCTACTGAAATGATTCAGAACACTTCCTTCTTCAAACTCCCACAGCACGATAGCACTCCTAAACGCATTTCTGCACAAGTTAGCACTTGATTGTGTGCTGTCTTAATCCTCCATGGTTTCGCATATGAAAGCCATCACCCCCTAAAGGAGATGCTCCAGTTGTCACAAGCTGTCACATCCCTTAACAGTACGGTCCTGGAGGTGGTGCTGAACCCTGAAGCACTCGTGACTGACTGCTGACAGGACCTCTACATTTATGATGAAGCCCTGTGAATCACAGGTACCTGAGAAATGGTAGCCTGGCCCAGCACTAAAGGGGACGTTCAGGGCCAGGAGGCTGATAAAGCTTAAGATCGATGCTGTTTTTGTCCTAAATATAAATGAAAGGTACTGGTTAGCTACTTGTGTAGTTTCTTTCTAAACACAGAGAGTAGATACCACAGAATGTCAGAAATGACTTAATCATCGCCATCTTCATGTGAACCCTAAGGTCATTTACATTGCAAAGATCTTAGCAAGAATTCAGTTCCATCAACTGCTGAACAGTGTGATGATTTGGGCATGCTCAGAATCATTCAAAATCTAGATAATGTAGTTCAAAAGATGTGATTTTTGTTGCTTTTCAGAAAACAGAGTTATAGGAGGCAGGTTTTTCACACTTCCCCAAAAAACTTTTCGAGAGTGTTTGTCATCATCCGCTGGCCATTACTAAATGTACTTTGAGAAGTTTACCAACACACTATAAGATGTGGTTGGTTGTATCATAACCATAGTACACCGTCTTCTGATTGTCATCATCGAAGACTTGAGGTGAGGTAATGAAACTAAACGTTCCCATAACCTGTGCAGCAGAATGCATACAGCTTCCCGGAAGCTAAGAATGGAGATGGTCTAACAGAAGAGCCCTAAAGCATCATGGGCTTTGAAAAGGCATCAAAGACTTGCAGGAAGAGGCTGTGGTCATGAGCACAATTTAAATGGTTGTGGACAACGATGCAGAAACTTAGAAAATCAAAGAAACAAACAAACCTGATGACTATTAGCGTGACTACTCCTTAACAGGAGAACCTCCACATGCAGTTTGAGATTTTTCCTCAAGAAACAACAGAAAGTAGCATCCATCAGTTGTTCACTGAGCAACAGCTAAAGGTACCAAGACAACATGGCAGAACCAATGAACTGGGCACGGCACATGTGGCCTCAGCTCCAGACCAAACCACAACCAACCACAGTTTCCCTATAGCTTCTAAATTGTTTCATCAGTTTTGCCTGGAAAGTCAGTCAACAACTTTCCAAAATATTTCTGTCTAAGAAAAACAAGATACTTCAAGAGAATGTATTTTTAAAAAATATTTTTTTATTGGTAAAGTGGAGTTAGAAATGCTTTTAAGAAAAATTTCTCCAGTGAGCCACAATGTTAGAAGATGGCTGGTGCTCTTCAGAGGGCTGTTACCCGTGGGAAAGCAACTGAAAGTGAAGTGCCTAGCCCCAGGCACTGAACCAAACACTTCTTAAGAAGAAAAGGACTTTAGTCGGTTCTACATCTGCCCTTTCCTTTTAGCCACAACTACTTGGTGACGTAATTCAGCCATCATTTTTTATTTTTGTTTTTAAATGAAAAAAAAAATGACCTTTGTCCATATTTAATTCCTATTTGATTGGGACATCTTACTTTGTCAGTGGCCACTAGGTTGCCATCACACTCAGCATGTGCACTCCGGGAGGCAGCTGTTTGAGAAGGTGTTTTCTGAAGGCAACAGATTACAATTGTTAAAAAAAAAAAAAAAACCCTTTGCATTGTTCATTTACCAACTACTCAAACCAAAATGTCATTGGTTCATGGCCAAGAATGCTGGCGACATCTAATTAATGCCCAGGATGGTCATTCAAACATTCTTGACCAGCTGAAATCTGGTATCAGTTTCAGTACTCTGTAGTTAATCATTAGCATGCTAGTTGTCCTGATGAAACTTTTTTGAGAGTTACTGGAAATATACCTTAACCCTGCCAGGAAGAGAAGTTAAATTTCTCCAGATTGTGGAGTATTTGTTTCTACTCCATCCACGTAGGCAAGGCTAAAACCTGAAACTGTAGACTTATGAGATATCGTGATATGTAAGGCACTTAATATTAAAGGTGTAAAAGTGACATTGTGCTAACTATGTGTGGAGATAAAAATGTTTGATGTGTAAGACAGTTCACATCGTATATACATCAGAGAATCTATTCCAGAAGGAAACCTCTTGAATGTGATAAATAAGGCAAAGCCTTTAATCACATCTCAGCCCTTAGCATCAGAAAGCTTACACTGTAAATAAACTTCATTAAATGTGAGGAAAGCATTCATATGTAGCACTCACTGCTTTGAACAGTGAATTTTGTCAGAGTCTTCCACTGATGTAATAAATTCCAGAAACACTGCGTAGGGAGCTCAGTCTTAACTCAGAGGGGCCACAAAAGGAAAGGGAATGTGGGGAAATGCTAAGGACATAGAAAATAGTACAATTTCTTGCAAGCATTGTTAATGTCAGGAACTTCTGTATATTTTGTCTGACCATGATGTGTGTATTTTGAACCTCCCGTCCCTGCTACTCTGTATATTCCCTGTAAGCAGATTGTATATTTTATTTTAATCTATTTGACAGAACACGTCACCCCAGAAGTGCAATACTGGAGTGAGTAGTGAAGAAACTGAAGTGGTTCTAGATAAAACATCCCTTCACAGAACCAGGGAGTGGGAAAATATAAAGAAGAAACAAAAGCTTCACAGTTTGATGCTTATCAGATCCATGAGGACAGGTTAATAGAACACAAAGATGAAAGGATTCTAGAAACATGCAGCATTTGGAGAGTTTCCTCCTCAAAGCCCAGAGATCAGCCTCCAAGTTGTTAAGTCACCACTGCAAGGAAGGGGAATGGATTCTGTCTAAGCTTGCAGCAGGGGGTGTCCTGTTAAATCATTACACTTGGAAGATTCAGGAGAAGAAAGCCCCATGATAGGCTCTTGGGTTCTTTCCAGTTAAGCATGAAGTAAATGGGGTACATCCAGTTGTGGGATTGCAGGAAGTTCTCAATTAAGCTTGAATAACTTTGCTTGTGTTCTGTGTACCTTCTGTGTTCCCACTCTTTCCCTGGTTTATGATTTTTAGGGAAGAAGTTTGTAAAGATAGCTGTGAACTTTTTTTAAGTTTTTATCCTGCAGTCATCTTTATTCTGGGTAGTCACGCTCATCTACTTTTCCAAAGCCAGATATAACCAGTTTCATCCACCATCCTCAAGGAAGGAGTGAATTTGGGTAACAGAATTGAAATGTGGTCAGTGACAGCAGTACTTGCCAGAGGAGTCACATTCTTGCGTCTTGTCCACTCTGTGCAACGAAGAAATATTTATGAGGAGGCTGGGGTTCCCTACCAGGGAAATCAAGTGACAGGCTGCAGTGTGTTCTCAGAAAAGGAAATTAAATGGTATAATTAGATCATTTTTTCAGTGGAAGTTAGGGTAGAATTTTCACTTGCTACTGGAAAACTTAATACAGAGCATTATTATTTGAAAAGTTTTCCTGATGTAGATTTAAGTCGTTTTGAGAATGGGCACACTACTACTGTACACTTAAAAGCAGTTATTATTTCAGATTATATCTGAAAATGAAATTTTCTGTCATTTCAAAGCTTTGTCAGACAAACTTGAAGTTCTAAGGAGGTCAGCCATCCCTTGTCCTACAGGTCAAGCACGTTGGTGACATGCTTTTGACATCCCACTGTGAAGGATTTCTTCATGTGACAACTCAGTCTCATACTTTCTGGTTCCCTTTAATCTTGGAGATTCTCCCTTCTGTTTACTGAAGAATCATAATTCATTGCAAATTACACAGTAATTAGCAAATTAATTGATCTTTGAAATTCTCGATCCTCATTAAGCAACAAGGCTCAACAGTTTAAGGCGGAAAGGATGAGACCCATGAATGATTGCAAGGTGGTGTTAAAATTGAATTTCCTCCCAGTTTAGGATTGGAGTTGTAAGTTCTTTGGTCCTGGAAGGAGACCAGATAGCTGTCATGGGTTTTTCATCACTATGGTTTAGTCTCCAGGCAAGGTTGGGTACGTTAAGATAGGAGAGTGTTTATCATTGCCCTTGTCCTTGGCTGAGAAAGAATAAGGAGGCTGAAGAGGAGCTTGGCTGTGTTAGGGTGTTTGCTCACCCTGTGACAGCATCCAGCTGCTTTTCAAGTTTTTTAGTCTGCCCTACCACAAAGCATGTTAGAGATACTTCTGGTAGCAGAAGTTCTTACTCAAAAACCTAACAGGAGGGAGTGGGGCAGGAGGAGGCACATTGCGATTGTGCAGGAAAATCTTGCTCTAAAAAGTTATCTAAAAATCTTGTCTAAAAAGAGGTGGGTTACTCGTGCAGAATCAGTAATTATTTTTAAATGAATAATTTTTTAACATTTAGTTAAATATAGATTATTACAGCCAGGTCAACATGCTAAGCCTAAATCTGTAGAGAGCTAACTCAGGCATTGTCTGTAGACTAAAAAGCAACCTGTTTTTGGTCAGTTCAGTTCAAGCTTTTTTGTTTAGAATTAAATTAGACCAAAAGAAGAGATTTACTTGTCTTTGTATACCTGCAAATTAAATTATTGCTGTTAAGAACGAAATTTTTCATTTTATTAGTCTCTTCAGAGTCCAGGTGCTTGGTAGATGTTCAATAAAGAATTTTTAAATTCCAATTTGTGCATTCAAAATACTCTAGCATTTCCAGAAATTCCTTTTTAAATAATGCAATCATAGGGAGAATGATGTGTTTTTAAAAAACTAGGGGAAAAGTAATTTTAAATCTTGAGGGCTAAAGTTGCAAACAGGGATGATAGCAAAACAGCGTGTGCACGTACTTCCGGTCAGTGATCTGTTTAGACCAGTGGTTTCTGGCAAATGTTGGCACAATGAGGTTGTGGAAATTAATAAGTATTCTTTATGTTGCTTCGGGGTAAAAGAATAAACTATCTGTAGGTGGCACTACTTGCGTTGGTCATCCTTGATTACCGAAACATTTCGGATCAAGGAAAAACATCAAAGTTGGAAATGTGTCAAGTCTTGGAACACAAAACTTGATTTTTATTTATTTATTTTTATTTTGCCTCATTGTGGATAATTGATGGTTTCTTTTTAGAAATCCTGAGTGGAGAAAGAGCTCTGTCTCCTCTATATTCTGATTCCTATTTCCTAAAGACTGGAATGGTCACTGCCCTGCTCTCTTTAAGGACTATGATGTAACACAGTCTTTAATGTGTCAAAAAGAAGATTTACAACCAGGGAGCTCGTAAAAATGTGTCCCCAGCCAGGTTTCCTGGTTCAGGGGAACTCAGTCCTGTTCTGCTATCTTTCTTAGCCTGAGTCACCCAAAAAGCAGAGCCTCAAGTTGGGGCCTAAGTACAGATGACTTGTATTGGGAAATGGTGACAGAGAACAGAAGTTGAGGGACAGGGTGGGCAGAAAGGAAGAGGAAGGAACCCAATGCATCCTTGAACTTGGTCATTATTGCAGATAAGGAGCCCAGACCTCCATGACAGGATGTGGCTGTTCTGGGCACTGAAGGAGAGATGTGTGAAGCGGGGATTTCTTGCCTTTGCAGGTCTGCACACATCACAGCAGTTTCAGAACAGCTACTACTGCCAAGTGCACCTGCCAAAATCTGGTTCCAGGAGTGGCTTGACTGAAAAGTGAGCAATCTGTGAGGCAGAGTACATGGAGTGTCCAGAATATGAGAGCTGGTTCCATTCTAGCTGTCTGTGGACACCAACTAGGTGTCCTCCAATTCAGTCCAGTTCTGATATTGCTACTGGAGTTGACTTCCTACTTCAGACACATCAAATTGCGATACTAAGGGGCCCTGAAAACCGAGTGCTGTCCTGCAAACAAGGGCCCCTAATCAGCTCAGCTCCCAAGAACGTCTCACTGTCCTCTCCAGTTCAAACCCTGATTGTGTGTGCTCCATTCCTGCACTTACATTTCAAAAGATGAGGAAACTGTAAACCTAGCCTCAAAATTTGAGGCCACCTTCATTTCTACCCTAGTCCCTGCTACACTGTTATTTCCCAGGGTTTAGTGTGTCACCACAGATGCATGATTCAAGAGGGGGACAGAGGAACAAGGGCAGAGAGCCTGGTAATAATTATCAGAGCTTCCCAGAGGAAGTTCCAGAAAAGTCTGGCAGGATTGTACTTAGCTCGGGGGTACAGAGCACCAATAATGGTGAAAGCTGCAAGAAACAGTGTGAGTCTAAAGCTTTGAGCATTATGGTGTGGGAAGATGTGTGATACTTGAGCAGAAATGGCCCTCCTGCTCTTCTACATCCTGGACAGCTCCGTAACTCTTGTTATAAAAGCCCTGGTAAACCACTTCTCAGGCATCTTTTTAATTAATAATTTTTATTGAAAAGTCATTTACAGAGTGAAGGAAAGAAAGATCTTTCATCCACTGGTTCACTCCCCAAGTAGCCGCAAGGGCTGGAGCTCAGCTGATCTGAATCCGAAAGCCAGGAGCCTCTTCAGGGTCTCCCAGGCAGGGTGCAGGGTCCCAAGGCTTTGGGCCATCCCCTACTGCTTTCCCAGGCCACAAGCAGGGAGCAGGAAGGGAAGTGGAGCAGCTGGGATATGAACCAGAGCCCATATGGGATCCCGTGCATGCAAGGCAAGGACTTTAGCTATTAGACTACAGCGCCAGGCCCAGGAAGGCATCTTCTTGAGTCAGCCCCTAACTTACTATCTGCTTGACACAAAGCTTTCCAGCTGCAGCTTGCGGCTGATGATGTGACGACACACCAACTAGAGCTCCTGTGTCTGCTAACGGATGGACTGTCTCTAGCCTACGATCAGGGTAACTGGGACCCAGGACGGGCTGGTGGCAGTGGCAGCTGGACCAGGCCTTACTCTGGGGGAGCAGAGGCTTCATTCCATGGGGGTGGGAGGTTTCCCTTGGTGCCTGGCAGGTCAGAGTTGCTAAGTCAGAAATGTTTTTGTGTCCAGTGTGATGAAAAAATCAGGGATCACAAAGGGACAATCTTTTCCAGGATGCCATAAAAAGAGGCTCAGGAGACTAAGGACTGTAAAAATGACAGTGGGCAAGAGAGGCTCCAGGCCAGCCAGCTTGTGGTCTGGGAGGTTGAGCTTCACAAAAGGAACAATCCAGGAACTCTCCAGCCAGGATCCTGGTTACTTGGCCCCGTGCCTTTTCTCATTTCATAGGCAGTACCATTTACCAAAAAAAAAAAAAAAAAAAAAACAGGCTGCAGAATTGGTAGAAATGATGTCTCCGTTCATCTCTCCAGGGCTTATGTCTGTTACGTTATTCTTTCTTGCTTGCGCTTCGGTGGAAATAAACCAGTTTGTCATTCTATATACTGTGGCACCCTTCCCGGACTCTGGCAAACTTCCTCTGTGGGGCACAATCATCAGCATGCAGTTTTCTGTGCCCTTATCATGTGGCTCTTTCTGTGTCTCAGGACAAAAGACGAATGAAAAATGTGACCTCCATCTCTGGTGCTCTAGGCCCCTTCTCACCCTCAGAAGATCTTTCACGCTCTCCTCTCTGTAACTCTGCCTTTTGAAAAAAAAAAAAATCGAAAAGAGGAGGAAGGGAGAGAAAGAGAAGAAAAGAAGTAGAAAAGAGTAGAATGAGATACAACAAAGAATAAGCCCAATGAGTTAGGCCACCATGGCCACTATGATGCCAGGACTTTGGACAAATTAGAAAAAGGCACCCTTTTTCCGCTGAAAAATTACATAACCTTAAGCTTCCTGACAACCACAAAATGAACAGTGTCAGGACTGGCACTGTGGTTCAATGGACTACTACTCCATCTGCAAGCACAGGTATCCCACATGGATGCTGGTTTGTGTCCCAGCTGCTCCACTTCCCAGCCAGCTCCTTGCCTGTGGCCTGGGAAAGCAACAGAGAACAGC